GCCTGGAAATGGGTCTGTGCAAGAATCTCTCCCAGTGGAGGAAAATAAGTCACAGAGTACCTGGACATTACAGCACACATGCCATTGCCAAGCCCTGGACACCCACACACACTGCAGTCCATGTCAGCGAGGTGACTGTGAATTTCTCTGACCTTCCTGTGTCTGACAGAGCTGTGAAATATCTGCACTCTTGCTTGCTGCAAGCCAAGCTCAGTGTATAAGGAGTTGCCAACCAACTGCTCACTGTATAACCTAATACAAGTCTGGAATTCTCGGTTAGAATACCCTCAAGTGGATGCAAAAGCTAATCACTGACTAATTACTGATTAACTCATGTTGCAGCCTTAGCTGAGCTGCCCTTGTTAGAAGCCATTGGACATCACTTGAAAAGAATTGGCTGTTCTAGGGATCTGCTGTTTCTTCAGCAACACATTAAATGAACTGCAGAGGCTCCAGGCTGAAGGCAGAAGTTACACAGGAAGATGTCATTGAATTGGCAGAAGCTCCTGTTAAACTGATGGGGTAATTTGGCTCAATTCAGCTGCCTGTGGGACTGTATTAAGCTGATCCTCCTTGGTGTTGCCTCTCTCAATGCATGATGTGATATCATACGATTTCATGATCGATTTGAGCCAATCAGTCTCTGTGCTGATGTTTTAAGTGCTGAGCTCAGCACTTCAGTAATGCTGAAATCTGTGCTGGCGCAGCACAGAGTGGATCAGCTTCTTCATCTGTCAAAACTACTCTGAGGTAGAGGGAGTGGGGAGAGATGCTGGTCCTTGCAGTTCAGGCAGCTTAGTGGTTTGATGTGATTCACTGTGTGGTTTCATGATCACCAGTGCCTGCACAAGGCTAATAGTGGAAAAACATGGGAGATGGGGGAGAAGGAGGTCTAGAATATCTCGTTGCTCTGCATCATGATTTCAAATTGATGAAGGCCAACTGTGAGTGTACATTGCTATCTGCTGTTCCTTCAAGATTGTTTTTGCCAGTATTGTGAAACGTTTGGGCTGTCATGAGTAGAAAAATTCAGTTTGGCTTTGTTTTGAAACTGATAGCAACCCTTGGGCTTTTTTTAACAGATAACTAATAAGTAACTTAAAATATGTAAAAGTGGCAACACAGCATAGTGAAGTTGTTCTGCAGCAGTGATGGCCTAAAATAGCAGGGCTGGTAGAAACAGACAGCTCAATCAGTTGGTCTAAAAAGGCTGAGGAAGAGGAGTGCACAAGCTTTTACCTCCACAGATGTGTCTTCAGGGTCACTATAATCTTATCTGAAAGTTGGTTTGTTAGGCTGGATCATGTCTAAGTGGAGATGTTTAAAATACACTTTGCATTTCACAGAGTCCCAGAACTGTTGGGGTTGGAATGGGCCCCTGGAGATCACCTGGTCCAAGCCCTGCTGAAGCAGGTTCCCCCAGAGCAGGTTGTGCAGGATGGCTCTAGGCAGGGTTTGAGTATCTCCAGGGAAGGAGACTCTGCAGCCTCTCTGGGCAGCTGTTCCAGGGCTCTGTCACCCTCACAGTTGAGAAGTTTTCCCTCATATTCATAGGAAACTTCTTATGTTTCAGTTGTGCCCATTGCTCCATGTCCTGTCACTGGGCACCACTGAGCAGATTCCCCCTGTCCTCTTGGCATCTGCCCTGAAGATATTTGTAAGTGTTTAAAGCAAAGACTGGAAGTGTTGCCTTGCCAGCTGAGTTAAGCCAAACATTGAGAGAAGTCTTTTGGGGGAAGCTAAAAGAATGCATTCAAGAAGGAATAAAATACATCAGCATTTGTCGTACTAACTCATCTTGTGATCTCTTTATCTTCAGCTGCTCAGATAAAAAATTTGATGAGCCAGCTGGGAACCAAGCAGGATTCCAGCAAGCTCTTAGAGAACTTGTAAGTATTAAATGATCAAACATGGGTCCTCTTTCATTTCTATCTGTATTCTTAGAGGAACTGGGTTACTTGCTTTGGGGAGATGCTCTATTAGACACATTTAATACAGTCCTACAAACCCCAAATGAGTAGCTGCATTAAGTAGTTTACTGGAGAAATTAAGGTGTTTCTGCAGGACTCTAGAGAAGCTATTCAAAACTGCTGGGTATGAATGGTTCTATTTTGTTCTTCTGTGTGGTTCTTCTAGAGCTGATTTAAAAAGCAGTAGTACCTCAGCCATGCATTGGCCATAGCTCTGCTCTGAGTAGCCATAGCAGCTTCACATGTGGTGAGTACTAGGTATGTGGTCTCACATGAGACCAATGAGGAAAAGCAGCAAGAAGTCCTATAACTGATGAAAAAGTCGGTTGTAGTGCAGATGGATTTAGGCACTTGAAAGATTAGCAATCGTATATGGCAACCAAAGTGTCCCATGTGATTTCAGAAGAATAATATGCCAGTGGGGGACAGTGTGGAAGACATTTAGACATGCATAGGCCAAACTGAGTCCTGGAGAGGCTAAACAAGGACTGTCTGTCTGTGCATCTTTTACAAACTCATAAAGCATAAATAGCTATGAAAAGAGTAATTTCCAGCATCATCAAAGAAAACTTGGAAGTAAATCCTTCCATTCTATTTTCATGTGCCTGCACCTCCAATCTCTGAATGTGCAGCTTTCCCAGTTTTGACAATAGCTGATTTTTGGATCAGTTCATGACTTGTGGTGGAAGCTACATACACCATATTTGAAGGCTGAGATCAGAGCCCATTGGGAGAGAAAGGGATTTGTCTCCTTGAGCTGCTCAGTTCTCTCAATCTCTATTTAATCAGTAGATTAAAGAACTAATCACTGGTGACCAAACAAATACCTTCCCAGCTAACGTCACTGCAGGAGTGGTGTGATCTCTCCTCTTTGAGGGGAGAGTGGCTGCACCCCACAACTTGTCAGCTGCTATGCAAACCAAATACCAAAATGCATGGGTGGTTTATTTACCTCACATCCAGAACTTAGACAGTAACAGAGCCTGAGTGCCTGGATTTGAGTATCCATTGGGCCATGTATGTGACTTTCACTTCAGCATCTTGTACACATTGAGTGCAAAAGAAATTGTTTCTTGTTTTACTATTTTGTGTCCTCCTGGTTTACAGTATTAGTTTTTGTGTATTGGTATGAGATACTTTGCAACAGTAGCTTTGAATTGCAATGTTATTGGAAAACTTAAAGGCTCACGGGAGAGCTTTGCAATTCCTGGAGTTGAAGCTGGATTGTTCCTCTCTCTGACCAGTATTTCTCACAAAAATGAAGAATTTAAAAACCTCAAAAGTACTTTTATCAAATGCACATTTAACCAATGGAGTTGGTGGTTGTCAAGTGAACAGTTAGTTACCAATTGGTACCACAAGGAATTCACCTTAAAAGAGGGATTATGTTCACTGAATGAAGTTGTTTCTCTCTTAAGCCACTGGAGAAAAAGATCTTTTTAAAACTACTGAATTATTCTAGCTAGCAGGGAGCACAGAAATTCTAGAATCTTTTTTAAAATGTAGTCTAGAGTCAAGTTGATGTTCACAGAATCAGAAAGTCAGTCAGGTTGGAAAAGACCTCTGAGATCAGCAAGACCTAACACCACCATGGCAGTAAGTGCCATGCCCACTCTGTGCTTAAACACCTGCAGGGATGGTGATTCCACCACCTCTCTGGGCAGCACATTCCAGTGGCTAATCATCCTTGCTGGGAAGAAATTCCTCCTAATGTCCAACCCAAACCTCCCCTGGTGCAGCTTGAGGCTGTGTCCTCTGGTCCTGTCACTAGCTGACTGGGAGAAGAGATTGACCCCACCTGGCTGCAACCTCCTGTCAGGCAGTTACAGAGAGTGATAAGGACAAGGTGATGTTAAAAACTAAAAGTGCATCTCTGATCCTTTAGGTTGAAAAAAACCCCAACCATAAAGCTGTGTGGTGTCAGAACCACTATTTAGTCATCATTTTAGACACTAAAATGCTCAGAGATTTGCTTTGTAGGTACAACTTGTATGACTGCTTTTGCACTTCTGTTTCAGACAACAGCTGCAGCACTCTGCAAACTGCCTTGCCAAAGAGACCAATGAATATCTAAAGGAGTTGGGGTCACTGCCACTGCCCCTGTCTGCTTCTGAACAGGTAGGCAGGCACAGCTTTCAGCACAGAGGTCTAGATCACTCATTTCATGAAACTAGCATAGACCTCACAAAGCTGGAACTGGCACAGCTGAAGAGACAGGAGCCTTTTGCAATGCAGGATGTTGGTGAAGTACAGAAACACATCCCACTGGTTGCTTATATGACACTGGGAAAACAATGTTTCCCAGGACAAACAGGTGTAAAAGTTTCTCACATGGGAATAAGAGGCCCTTCGGGGAGAGCTCAATATGCAACTCTGGTTTTCTGAGTAAATTTCTGGAAAATAGTCTTGTTTGGGAAGTGTCTGTTGGGACATGGTGGTACAAGGCAGTGTTCTGGAATAAGAACTCAGAGCCCACTGTCTGTCAGTATGAAATGTGATGGTGCCAGGGAAGCTTTCCCTTGCAGGGTATTGATTAGCAGGGGGAGGGAGAAGCTGACTCACCTTGTCATATTTGAATAAAGAAAAATGTAATGCGACAAAGGTTATGATTTTATCTCTTGCCCAAGAGTGGCTCAAGATCCCCCTCCTTGTGGGAAAGGGAAGGGACAATCCTCTGCTGCAGGGTTAATTCACCACTATCTACTTTTGTGGTGCTGCTCTGAGATGATCTGGGGATGTGGGTCAGCAGATGTCGTGCTCTAATTCTCTGTGTAGAGGTTTACATGGCAGTGGGAAGCATGGCCATGTTTGCTGGGTTGGTCAGCAAATATTTTTCAGTCAATCTCCCTGTAGTGAACAAAATACTGTCACATGCATCTCCCTCAACACAGCCCAGTGAAAAGTTAGTCCGAATCTGCAGGAGTAGCCATCAGCATGCTGAGGAAGGCTGGTGCTTCCAGAGGACTCAGATGGAAGTGTGTTATGAGGCTGCTGTAGTGGCTTATTATGAAAAAAAGTATAATTGAAAAGATTTCCTTCCTTGAAATGACTGTTGAATTGATCAAACGCCTTGCAGGATTACAGCCCTGCAAAGCTCACGTTGGAGCCTGTTGTGACTCTCTATCAGAAAACATAAGAACTGACCTAGTGTTGAGTGTCCTTGGGACAAGCTTTTCCACAACTTCTCATTTCCCATACCTGGACTGTCACAGCACTCATAGGAGATGTTCAGTGGAGGCTAAATAAGGTGACACTAAAATGAGGATGAAAAGGATTATTACAACTAATGTGTTTGGAGAAAAGATAAACTGAAATGGTTATCAAGACTAGGGATCTAATAACAACAGGCCTGTAGTGTGGCATGCTGAGGGAGGCATCTTAGGAAGGTGGGACAATGGGTGCTGTTATCAGCTCTGGAGTGTGAGGCTTCCTGTATTTGTAAGAAAGTTAAGTACTATGAGGTTGGCTGAGTAGAGGAATAGAGGGTAAAGTTATTGTAGGTAACCAAAAGGTACATAGTTAAATGTGGTCACAGAATCACAAGATCTCCTGAGCTGGAAGGGACACCCAAGGATCACCAGTCCAACCCCTGCCCTGCCCAAGACACCCCAACAGTCCACCCTGTGCCTGAGAGCATTGGCCAAACACTCCTTGAGCTCTGTCAGCCTTGGGGCTGTGCCCACTGCCCTGGGGAGCTGTTCAGTGCCCAAACACCTCTGGGGGAAGAACCTTTGCCTCATCTCCAGCCTAACCCTCCCCTGACACAGCTCCAGCCATTCCCTGGGTCCTGTCCCTGGTCCCAGAGAGCAGAGATGGAGCTGCCCCTGCACTGCCCCTCGGGAGGAGCGGCAGCCCCTGATGAGATCTGCCCTCAGCTCCTCTGCTCCAGCTGAACACACCAAGTGCCCTCAGTGCTCCTCATGTGGCCCCTCGAAGCCCTTCATTGTCTTTGTTGTCCTCCTTTGGAGGTGGTGGATTACTGGAATGTGATTTGAGAAACGGTGTAGGAGACATTTCTACTTCAGACTTAAAACTAGATTGAAATTGGAGACCCTTACTGCACAGAACTGTCCTGCAGTGAGCAAGGTGTGGAGCATTTGGTGTAAGGAACTGAAACCCGGTGGGTTTTTGTTCTCTGCAGTGCCCCAGACTGCGTCACTGCAGTGTGCCCCAAAGCATCACTGATTGCCAGCACTCACTGTTGTTGTGATGGGTTTTCTGGGAGTCTCAGAGTCACTTTGCAATGAATGGGAATGTCTGAGCAGTGGTTTGTGTTTAACTCCTCAGCGGCAGCAGCGGCTCCAGAAGGAAAGATTAATGAATGACTTCTCAGCGGCCTTAAACAACTTCCAGGCAGTACAGAGACGAGTGTCAGAGAAGGAAAAGGAGACTGTGGCACGGGCCAGAGCTGGCTCCCGAATCTCTGTGAGTATTTGTGGGGATTTTGGAGTGATGTAGGAAAGTACAAACCTTGTGAGATATCTTGTACTGCCTTCCAACTGCACAGCTGTCACTGACACCTTACTGAGTGCAGCTGAGGCCTTGGTGTCTCAGTTATACCACTCCAGATGTTGTAAGTAATCTCTCATTTCACTGTGCTCCTTGTCAATGTAGAGGAGGGAAGTGTTATAAATTGCGGCCCAATAAATCCCGTTGGTGCTAGGGACGCTGTTCCATTGGTGCTGGGGACGCTGTTCCCGTTGGTGCTGGGGACGCTGTTCCCGCTGGTGCTAGGGATGCTGTTCGCGTTGGTGCTGGGGACGCTGTTCCATTGGTGCTGGGGACGCTGTTCCCATTGGTGCTAGGGACGCTGTCCGAGCTGCTGCTGGGGACGCTGTTCTGTTCCTAGG